CGACAAAGCAAGGGCCGGTTGGTGACAACTTCCAACGGCGAACGAGACTTCGAATTCTGCCTTGTTACCGACGCTGCCACTGGCGAGCGTGAGACCATTGGGAAAGAAGAAATACGGTTATGCATTCAACCCTCTTGGCTAAGTATGGTCCTTATATTTTCAACTCTTGGCACTGAATACTGCAAGTTGCAAGAGCCAAACTGCGTTCTTGTATCAAATGTATATTCATGACTAGCATTTATAGTTTCTGTCACTTTCTGAAGAGAAGAATAAGGAAAAATCGTTGCAAAGGAAACTGTTTCGCAAATTTTCGCTAAGTTTAAAAAACAAACCATTTTTTAAAATGAAAATATATACCTTTTCCCTTCTCTCTCAAAAGAAAATTATTAGAAAACGTTAAATATAACATATTTAGTAAGGTACTGCATTTCCTTTTCTTACTGGGGGAATCTCGTGATCAAAAATTGAACTAAAAATTTCACGTATCTCAGCATTATTCAATAGAAATTTATTCTTATAAAGATAATAAAAGAAGTCCTTTTTAATATGTTTTTTTCTACACAACCATTTATGCTCTAAAGCCGATCACAAATTCTTCCAGCAACGTGATAAGGAAAGAGGGTAAAATAAAATAAGTGTAGAATTGTCGCACGTGATAAATTAAGAGGTTCAAAGAAAAACACCTTTTGGTTGCTTTTTCAAAAAATTAGATTCTCTGATTTGAAAAGAGTATCTCATGATATGGAGTTGATACTAAAAGCACGAAAATAATTATTTCTGTTTCATTTAATAACAATTCTAAATAAAAGCTAAACCAGCACGAACTTTCTCGCCTTTAGTAATGCTTATGAAATACTATTTATATCACAATTTCTCTGCAAATTAACACATCTCAATGATCATTTTTTGTAAATCTCAATTCAAATGGTAGAATAGTTGGTGCAAAAACTAAAAATTGTCAAGAAAATACCAACTCAAATTTAACAATTATAAGTCCTTTTCATTCATCTAAATCATGGCACAAGGGGAAATGACGAAATTCACTGAAATTCGCGGAATGCCATTGTTGCATTTCAATCTGATATTCCCTGAAAGATAGCATTTTGTTTTTAATATATTTAAATTAGGTTTAAATAATTTATAAAATATTAATTTGTGAACGTATTACAAAAGCTCCAATAAAAGAAACGAACAAAAAATATGAAATAATGTACACGTACGTAGCATCAAACTGACTAACACTTCTAAAATTACGTTCACGAAGCCAGTCAATTCGGAGAGAATGACTTTGTTTGTAGCCAAATTACACAAAAAATTCTCATATTTTCAAAAAAATCAACACGTCCTTAATAGAAGTTGTGTTTTTGAACCTATTTCACTAAAAAGAAATTGTATCCTCACAACTGAAGTTGTAGGAAGATGTCAAATATAAAGAAAATATTTTTTGTTAACATTTTTGCAAAATTCTTTACGCTAAGTTCTAAAATTACTAAAAAATCGAGTCTTTTTCAAGACAAAATAGTTTAAAGAGAAAATGCCTAAATTTACCCAAAATATCCGCCAAAAATACTCATGTTTTCGAAAAATCAGACATGACATTTTTTTACATCCGTTTTTGATAAAAACATTTCATTAAGGACCAAATGTTTATTTTCATTATTGTAGATGAGAGAAAAGCAATGAAAAACATTTAGAATTTTTCAATTTCCGAACAATTAGAATTTTAAATGAAAATAACTCTTTTGCCATTTTCTTAAACGTACTTCACACTATCCAATAACAAAGTTTAATCAAAATCGTTGGAGCCATTTGTTTGAAAATTTTAAAAATCTCCAAGGGGATTCATGTAAAGTACCCACAAAAATTAAAATATCAGTTTCAAATTCAAGGGGCTGCGACATAAACCAGATTGAATATGTATTTTGGAGAAAATCGGCAGAGCGATTTAGATGCTAGCGTTGTTCACAGAAAGACGAACTTACGTATTGTCGTCATTGGATTTTTCGGTATCACGGACTTACAAACCATAGATTCTGGCTATACCACGTCTTAGAAGATTTTTATTTTTAAATTTAGTTTCTGTCCACTTTTCGTTGCCAGGACCCAGTAATAAGAGTTTTTCTGCTGACAATTTGCCGTTTTATCGCGCAGCATTACATAACTTTCTATCGCGGTAGCGAGAACGTAAAATGATGTTTCACCTGGTTTACTCCACTTTAAATGTAGTGCTCACTGTATTGTTATTTCTATTGCACTTGTATTTTTAACTTATCTCACAGAAAGAAAAGCAGACTACGAAGATTATGGTGTCTTGATAATATAACAACTGTTCATAAATTAATGACAAAAGAGAACTTATAATAGGTTGAAGACGTCAGGATTTTGTTGTGCAATTACAATGATTAACGCCGAAATCTCACAGAAAAATTCCAAATCATGTTTCGAGTTCCACTAATTTTCAGTAACACCACCACTATTCATAATATGCTGCTGTTGTGTAACGCCGTTTTCTGGAAACCTACCCAATAGTACACACCTGATGGGTATCTCATTGTTGACAATTTTCTACGAGACTCTCATCATTTATTGAGTAATGAAATTGATGAAGGGCACTACTTTACGATTTATTTTTTCGAGAATTTTATTTACATGCCAGAATGCAGATATTCAGCCATTTTAAAATCTATCACTCTTACAAGGTGATATCCGCGTATATCCACGATCAGAAGCTTTGGTAATTAGCATTAGAATTAAATGTAAGAGAAGCGCGGTTTTCGATTATCTTGCAGCTATCAAAAATCGCAAACGGCGAACTGGCGGGCGGGCGGGCGGCAGAACTGCGGAGGGCACCAGTGGGCGGGGCCTGCGGGTCGCCCTGCCTCCCCGGCGCTTGCCGCCCGCTGGCCTTAGGCGGGCGACCCCCTCTCCCTCCGCCGCCGCCGCTGCCCTTATTTATGGGCTCTGGCTAATGAAGCATTCCGCGGGATCCGCGAAACCACCGCCTAATTTTCATACCCGCCGGGAGAGAAGCGTATCACTCTGCCTTGGCCTTCGAACGCGCATCACTTCGAGATAGCCCCGTTTGTTCAGAGAATAACGTAATTTAAATATATTAGATAACTATAATTTTACGGCTTAAACACAAATACGCAAAAACCTGTCAATATAAGTTTTGGTCAACTGAAATTCTAGGGATCTGCCCTCAACACAGTTAAATTTGCGGATATCAACACGACAGAGAACATATTTCATATTTCTAGATGAGTCTGGAGAAAATATTTTTCACATAATAAATACTTTCTTATAATATGAGAAAAGAGTGAAAAATAAACTTCAAATATTTTACAAACATTTAAGAAACTCATTAAATTTTTTATCATAAAATAAAAATTCATCAGTTTATTAAAAAATCACTAGCTATGTCTCAGCTTCAATTAGTTTTAGAAAAATTAAAAGATGTTTTGAAATTTACGCACAATCACTGTAGGACGATTTAATATAACTTTTTTGGATATTGAAGGAGTGATGTAACACATTCTCTGAAAGGGAATTTTCTTTTATTATGTTTGTTACATCTCTTAGAAAGTAGCGACTTTTATTGAGAAGAAACGGTGGGCGGAGAAAATGCTATTGCTTTAGGCACTTTCGTTCGGTGTGATGGAACGTCATGTCTTTCCATCTTGAAACTGATTAGTCATTAATAGTTCCATATCAGTCCGAGACCGCAAAGCCGAAGAGTCTCGCCACGTAAAATAAGGCAAATTCAATTCAATTCAAGATATCTGACGCGGATTCGTGAAGGCCTATGCAGCTTTGAGTCACGCGCCTTACGATATAAACAATAAAAGTTTTGAAATCTCATATGCATTGTATGTCGTAATACACATATGAAATCGTTTTCAGAAGCATTTATTATCGTTTATAACACTTCAACAGATAGTATATGCAAAGGCCTGGCAAGTTCATACAATATAAGAAAGACTTACAAAATCCACAACATACGCATAACGTTTTTATCCCACGTGTGCTCATTATACTTGTCTAAGGACGAACTCAAGATTTTACGAATCAATTAAGAGTTAACAACTATCCCTAACTATAAAGAGGGATATTATGATTTATTTATTCTAACTTTGGAAAGTTTTTGAAAGCCACTCATTTCATCACGCAAGTGTCAAAGTACTACTTCAAAAATGCACAAACTAAAGAACTTTAATATGAGAATGAAAACTGACTACAAATAGCACTTGCCTTTTCCTTAAATTTCACAGAAATTTCCCAGAACAAGTAGTATTTAATATCCAAATTGACATTATTACACAAGACTGCCTTTTGCACAAAACTGCGTTTTGACTGCCTTTTTAAAAGAACTGTAAATTGTCTTTGGCCACCATTCTTCCTTGTGCCTTGAGAAATTATTTTGATTCACTAATGTACGGAGACTGTATTGCTTTGGACGCAGCATCTTGGCACATACAGTCACTCTGCCCCTGAACTAGAGCCGTTGGAATTCGAATTTGAATCCCGCCGCCAGCCGCTAAGGTCGCGGGCAGTGCGTGCTCCGCCGCTGCGCTGCCCGCCGCCCGCATTCCCGCTGCCTTGCCGGGCGCCCGCCAGCCGCTGCGCGACCTCGGCAAGGCCGCCGCTGACTTATCGCGAGCGCTCTGCGGCCGCTCAGTCAGTAAATCACAGCAGAGTGCTCGGATGCAGAGCGAAATCCGCGCAGTTGCATCGGGTTTCTTCCTCATGGCCACCACGTCTTACGAGGTGGGCTCAAAAATGGTGGGAAATACGCAGACTTTTTTCTTTAGCGGGGAACTTTGATCGAATTTTTGCCTTTCAAGGTTCTTAATGGTAAACCTCTACAGACATCACGCAGAAAGACTAAAGTTACCTCAAGCACGGAAATGTGTCTTAAAAGTGGAAACAGGTAGAGTCATTACTC